GTTGGCACAGTTCACTTTGGTTTGTGCAGAGTAGGGAAGCCAGCAGTCTTGCTGCTATGACCAAAGGAGGCTCACTTGTTTTGGAGCAACTTTCAATTGAACCGGTGACTTCAATGTCAAACAAATGTGTATGCCAGGTGCTTCCTTGATACTGTGGACCTGACAGGGGCAAACAATGGATTGGTAGAGTAGATTGGAGTTTAACAGGAATTTCCAAAGGTTGCCACAGCCAGAGTAGGGCTTGATAAGCATTCCATATATCCCATGAGGACATAAGGCCATGAGCATGTGCAACAAAGACTGAAGTAGGCCTAATTCCTGGAAACATTCTGGACCAATGGAGTCAATGGCACCTGCAAATGAAGCGAGAAGGCTCCAATGGACTCAGAAGAATGTACAGAAAGGCATGAAATCAGCCTGAACATTGAATATATGCCCTAGTGCACACATTGATCCATCAGTAGAAAGTGAAAGTCTTACTGGCTTGTGTCTTTGAGTATAATCTTTTATTAAGCTTTGGCTGAACACTAAGCTATAAAGATACAGAGGAGACCCTTAGAAAACCAAACCTAAAAATAAAAGCAAGAAAAAAAATTGAATATAGTCTCCAGTGCCCACAGGCTTATGTGATTCAGAATTCATAGATTTAGTCTAGTTAGGCAAGTGACTAAACACAACAAAGAACAAAATTCAGGAGGAAATTCCAAACTTCCTTCAATATATTATCTAAAACATTCACTTTTCAAACAAAATATTACATGAAATGCAATGAAACAAAAACTATGACACACTCATCCAACTGAAACTGCATCTAAGTGTTCCTATGTTTGATTTAGCAAAGACTTCAAAGAAATTATTATAGATTCAAAGTACTAAAAGAAAACCAGTAGAAAGAATTACAGAAATGGGCCTCCCTAGTGGCACAGGTGTTAAAGCACTGTCAAGCTATCACTAGCCACTGTGGTATGAGTTTGATCCCCAGCCAGGGAGTGACTCTCCTGTCTCACCTGCTGCTCCCCTCAGCAGTGTACTTCAGTAGATTCTCCTGTTCTGCTCCCCACTGTATCTCTTGTGAATCCTCTCATTGCCCCACCCAACACCTAGGGCCTATACCCACTTCTTATATGCATAAACGAGTAAAAACAAATCTTCAAAAAAGTTACAGAAAAGTATAATGAAAATGACTCAACGAACACTGAATCTTAATAAAGAGATATTTCAAAAGAGAATCAAATGTAAACTCCAGCATTGATAAGTACAATAATGAAAAAGTGCTTGTAATTTTCAAGATTCTTCAGAGAAGTGGGACCAGTAGATTATGTCTAATAAGATAATAAGAGATTTATTTAAAGGAAATGGCAACTGTAGGACTTTCAAGTCCAAAATGTATAAGATAGGCTGGCAAGCTGCTAGCTCTAAGGCAGAAAATTGTCATTA